TATATATATATATATATATATATATATATATGTATGGTGTTTGAAATCTTTGATGATGTTTAAAAAATCTAATTAAATGAAGAATTTCATTAAATTTTATAGTTTTCTTAGAACGCGATTGCTGAATAATTTCAAGTAATCAAGTGAACTTTTAATAAAAATAAAAAAATATGAGTGCAATTAAAAAATATTAAAAAATATAATTGAGCCAAGCAGACTTGTGACACTGTTCGGGCTGTAAGTGGATTGTGAGTTGGGCTCGATTAAGTCAACCCCGACTCGAGTCATAAGCTCGTTAGCTCACTCGTTTTAAAATATTAATATAAATTTTATTCAAAATACAAGTTTTAAGGTTTTATCTTTAATTTAATAAAATTATTTGAAAAATGATATTTTATTTAAGTGATTTCTTACTCTATATATATATATATATTCTTAGGAATGGCCGGAGGCTATTATACGAGCCTCGGCTATCCCGCATGAGCCTAAAAATTCGAGTAGCACATCCTACGCTCGCGGGGAATCGAAGTTCGAACCAGAGTGAACTTACAACTGACAACCAGATGCCCGACTAACACATATCTTACTATCTCTCTCTCTCTCTCTTATAATTATTTTTTTATTTATCATTTTATTATGATACTAGTTTAAATTAAATATTGATTCTAACTTTTATATTAAATAAATTGATTCAAACTCGTAGTCTTAAACTCAAATAAGCCCTCGAATTTGATTAATCAATCGAGCTCAAATTAACTTTGGGATGGAGCACCATTTGACTCCTTTACAACCCTGCAATTAACGCACCACTATACATAATATGAGCACATGCATGCTTAATATTTTGATGTTTTTATATTTTTTTTATAATAAATGTTAGTACTATTTTTTTTCTTCTATTATTAATTCGTAAATCATATCATAAACCTCTGGCTTCTATATAAATATTGCATATTAATATGCTTTTTTGTATGTAACATAAATCTGAATTGAGGCCTATAATTAGAAATTAAGAAGAATATATGTAATAAAGAGATTCTTCTTAGCTTCCTGCAGATTTATCGATAGGATCCTTTTTTTAAGAAATTGAATCTCCTATGTAAATATTTATTTATAATATTTTTCTACAAATAACTTTCTTAATTATAAATATAAATAATCAGACTGCTATATATATTTAGGGGAGGGGACAAAATAAATTACTTAAATTACATTAAAAAAAATTAATTTATTATTTATCTAGAGAAATTGCAAACTCAAGGAATGCAATTGTCCACCCGGATATAACGTAGTTCTGCTACAGATGATCAATATGAAACATCAGAATTTTATGAGGACAATATTTTAATTCAACATGATACATCAGATCATGTCTCACATTTGGGCAAGGTCTTGTTTAGGATAAAGTATTAGGTCGGTCATCTAGATGTGCAGATGATGGTCGTCTGCATGGGCAAGGTCTGGTTTAACATAAAGTATTACGCCAGTTTTAACAAAATATGTTTTTTGAATGGTTATAATGCCCATCTCTCTCTCTCTCTCTCTCTCTCTCTCTCTCTCTCTCTCTCTCTCTCTCTCTATATATATA